GGCATTCTTGCGCTATTTCGGTTTGTCTAAATCTAGTTTTCTAAAACAATGAGTGAACCACATTTTTTTTTTAGTTCCATGTTTTTTTTATTTATGTAATTTTCTGTAATATTTTTGAGAGTAATAGTTGGTTGTGATTAGTATTAACTAAAAACAGTACTCAATTTCCCTGCCCTTTTATACAATAAACATAGATAACAAAGTTATGGTATGTATTTTTTTTACATTATTTTATATTCCTACAAACTCCCATTCCAGTTGTGACAGCCTACTTGACCATTGAATACATGAGTGCAATTCCTCTTACAACCTGTGATGGTGCAGTACCTTCTACAACCTGTGATGGTGCAGTACCTTGTACAACCTGTGGTGGTGCAGTAGCTCCTAGTGCCTGTGGTGGTTCAGTAGAACCTGAGGTGGTGCAGTAGCTCTTACAGCCTGATGTGGTGCAGTAGAACCTGTGGTGGTGCAGTAGCTCTTGGCGGTATAAAATAGAAATAGATCAAGTGCCAAAATGCTAGTATATTAAACCAGATAGCACCTATAGAATTTGGGGATCTTTTTGTCAGAATACACTTACCAACTTTACCAACAGTTCCATGTTTTTATATTGTTTATATTTTAGAAGTTGTGGGAAGGGGATATCAAGATATCTGAAGCAAACATAAAAATTTATAAATAAAAAACAATCACATGGAATAATACAGATAAACTTGACTATAACAACCGACCTTCAATAGCAGAAACAGAAATACACCATATGGACGTAGATATTTTTCCTCCTGGTTTTATAACATAGAAAGAAAAATATATATTTTAAGGTGTAAACATCTGAGTTGAATGTAGCAAACCAAGTGTAAGAATGTGTTTACCTCACATTACCAAGAGCTACTCAATGCTCAATGTATTGTGTATAGTTAGTGACTGACTAAAACTCTATAGCGCCATTACATAATAGAAGGCCCAAAGAAGAACTGCAGCTGCAATTTGATATGCTGCATTTTGGAATATTAGATGTATTTCAATGTACCTCTATGAGCTTAACTCATTGGCTGAAAGTGATCAGCTGACATGGCATGATGGGTTAAGAGAATCTGTAGACTGGGACACTAACCGGCATTGACAGCTCCTGGCATATTAATACCAGAAACCATTTCAAACCATTATTACAGGGAAGATTAATATCATGTAAATTATAATATTACAATACAGTAAATAAAAATCCAGATAAACATGAAGAAGTGGAAACTACTGTTAAAGGGACACTCCACTGTGACAAAAAAAAAATCACTGTATAGTTGATATTGCCCAAATGTAAACATAAATGTGTTTAATTATACATTATTTCATTGGTGGTATAGCTATACACAGCTTTCAAAAGCTGCAGTTTATCTTGTCTTCAGCCTTTACAAGCCCTCCCCTTCTAACCCCGCCCAGACTTTCTGTGGCTGCCCAATCACAGACTTCCCAATGCAGCTCAGTGAGAAGTCTTTGCAAGGCAGGTGCTCTGGGCATTTGATGCCTCTTGGGTTTAGCTTTATTGAGCTAACCAAACCAGGAAGTACCAGGGCCGGTTGTCTGACACCTGGGGGCTGCAACAAGGTTAATTTATAAAAGTTCCAATTTCTAGTTACTATCACTCTTCACACATAAAGCATTAGAGCAAGCTGAAAAGCTTTAGGGGTCCGGTGTGTTCCTTTAAGGGTTAAACAGATGCTCTGCACATCACAGACCTCAAAAGAATGAAAACACTGTTAGAAATTACATCAAAATAGCAATTCAGAAGGAGTTTATTTACTAAACTGAAATTTGTATAGAATTAACAAGTGATTGACACATCTCAGACTGAAGTAGCCAAACTGCAGAATGGCTTGATGGGAATTTTTCCAATTTGCCTATTTTAGCCTAATATTTAGGAATTCTCACTGGCTCTATAAGTATAATTAGGAAATATAGATTTTTTTTTTTACTCCATGTATTTTTTTAACTGTTTATATTTTTATTAGATTTGTATCGAGAACATATCAGGCTGATGTTTTTCTTGAGGAATTTATGAGCTGGGTTAGGACCGGACCAACCTCTGCCTTCGCCAGCATCACCCAGCTGGTCTCCGAGGCCTCGCAGGAAGAAGTATTGCAGCGGAGAGCAGGAGGGTGAAAGGCAGAGAGTGGATCAGGTGTTGAAAATAAGCTTGCATCATGGTTGCCATAGCACTGATTAAAAAACAATATCGCCCTAATGAGCTTGTGGCAATAACATCACCCACCCTGAAATTGAACACACACGCACCTAGACAGACATATGACAGACACACAAACACAAACCGTTAGATACAGCACTGATATATACACAATGTTACACACATACACAAATCTATATATTGATATATACACAATGTTACACACACACACAGACACAAATCTATATATTGATATATACACAATGTTACACACACACACAGACACAAATCTATATATTGATATATACACAATGTTACACACACACACAGACACAAATCTATATATTGATATATACACAATGTTACACACACACAGACACAAATCTATATATTGATATATACACAATGTTACACACACACAGAGACACAAATCTATATATTGATATATACACAATGTTACACACACACACAGACACAAATCTATATATTGATATATACACAATGTTACACACACACAGAGACACAAATCTATATATTGATATATACACAATGTTACACACACACACAGACACAAATCTATATATTGATATATACACAATGTTACACACACACACACAGACACAAATCTATATATTGATATATACACAATGTTACACACACACACACACAGACACAAATCTATATATTGATATATACACAATGTTACACACACACACACACACATCTATATATTGATATATACATATTACAAACACACACAAATCATTAAACTGATATATAAACAATGTTGCACACACACAAATCATTATATTGATTTATACATAATGTCACACACACAAATCATTATATTGATATATACACAATGTTACAAATACAAATCATTAAACTGATATAGACATAATCTTACACACACACACCATTAAGCTGATATATACACAATGATACACAAACACAAATCATCAAACTGATATATACATATTATTACACACAAACACAAATCATTAAACTGATATATACAAAATGTTACACACACAAAAATCATTAAAAAATCATTAAAATTATATATACACAATGTTACACACACACATCCTCAAATCATTATATTGATAAATAAACAATGTTACACACACACACAAATCCCTAAATTGATTTATACACAATCTTAGACACACACAAATCATAATACTGATATATACACAATGTTACACATACACACAGACACAAATCATTGTATTTAGCACTGATATATAAACAATGTTACACATACAGACACAAATCATTATATATAGCACTGATATATACACAATGTTACACATGCACAAACACAGATCATTATAATAATATATACACAATGTTAAAGATATACACACACACACAAATCCGTATACTGATATGTAAACAGTGTTACACATACACAAATACACACACACTGAATACAGCATTAAATACAGCACTGATATACACACAGTGTTACACATACCCACACTCATTAAATACAGCACTGATACACACACAGTGTTACACATACCCACACTCATTAAATACAGCACTGATATACACAATGTTACACATACCCGCACTCAATACAGCACTGATATACACACAATGTTACACATACCCACACTCATTAAATACAGCACTGATACACACACAGTGTTACACATACCCACACTCATTAAATACAGCACTGATATACACATAGTGTTACACATACCCACACTCATTAAATACAGCACTGATATATACAGCACTGATATACACGCAGTGTTACACATACCCACACTCGTTAAATACAGCACTGATATACACACAGTGTTACACATACCCGCACTCATTAAATACAGCACTGATATACACACAGTGTTACACATACCCGCACTCATTAAATACAGCACTGATATACACACAGTGTTACACATACCCACACTCATTAAATACAGCACTGATATACACATAGTGTTACACATACCCACACTCATTAAATACAGCACTGATATATACAGCACTGATATACACGCAGTGTTACACATACCCACACTCGTTAAATACAGCACTGATATACACACAGTGTTACACATACCCGCACTCATTAAATACAGCACTGATATACACACAGTGTTACACATACCCGCACTCATTAAATACAGCACTGATATACACACAGTGTTACACATACCCGCACTCATTAAATACAGCACTGATATACACACAATGTTACACATACCCACACTCATTAAATACAGCACTGATATACACAGTGTTACACATACCCACACTCATTAAATACAGCACTGATATACACACAATGTTACACATACCCGCACTCATTAAATACAGCACTGATATACACACAATGTTACACCTACCCACACTCATTAAATACAGCACTGATATACACACAGTGTTACACATACCCGCACTCGTTAAATACAGCACTGATACACACAGTGTTACACATACCCACACTTGTTAAATACAGCACTGATATACACACAGTGTTACACATACCCACACTCATTAAATACAGCACTGATATACACACAGTGTTAAACACAGCATTGATATACACACAGTGTTACACATACCCGCACTCGTTAAATACAGCACTGATATACACACAGTGTTACACATACCCACACTCGTTAAATACAGCACTGATATACACACAGTGTTACACATACCCGCACTCATTAAATACAGCACTGATACACACAGTGTTACACATACCCACACTCATTAAATACAGCACTGATATACACACAGTGTTACACATACCCGCACTCATTAAATACAGCACTGATATACACACAGTGTTACACATACACACACTCATTAAATACAGCACTGATATACACACAGTGTTAAACATACCCACACTCATTAAATACAGCATTGATATACAGTGTATATCAATGCTGTATTTAATGAGTGTGGGTATGTGTAACACTGTGTGTATATTATACACACAGTGTTACACATACCCGCACTCATTAAATACAGCACTGATATACACACAATGTTACACATACCCACACTCATTAAATACAGCACTGAAATACACACAGTGTTACACATACCCGCACTCATTAAATACAGCACTGATATACACACAGTGTTACACATACCCACACTCGTTAAATACAGCACTGATATACACACAGTGTTACACATACCCACACTCATTAAATACAGCACTGATATACACACAGTGTTACACATACCCGCACTCATTAAATACAGCACTGATATACACACAGTGTTACACATACCCGCACTCATTAAATACAGCACTGATATACACACAGTGTTAGACATACCCGCACTCATTAAATACAGCACTGATATACACAGTGTTAGACATACCCGCACTCATTAAATACAGCACTGATATACACAGTGTTACACATACCCACACTCATTAAAATACGGCACTGATACACACACAGTGTTACACATACCCGCACTCATTAAATACAGCACTGATATACACACAGTGTTACACATACCCACACTCATTAAATACAGCACTGATATACATACAGTGTTACACATACCCGCACTCATTAAATACAGCACTGATATACACACAGTGTTACACATACCCACACTCATTAAATACAGCACTGATATACACACAGTGTTACACATACCCGCACTCATTAAATACAGCACTGATATACACACAGTGTTACACATACACACACTCATTAAATACAGCACTGATATACACACAGTGTTACACATACCCGCACTCGTTAAATACAGCACTGATATACACACAGTGTTACACATACCCGCACTCATTAAATACAGCACTGATATACACACAGTGTTACACATACCCACACTCATTAAATACAGCACTGATATACACACAGTGTTACACATACCCACACTCATTAAATACAGCACTGATATCTACACTTGTGCATTCAAGTTCAAATACACTGAAATTCATCAGAGTTTGGGTCGATTGGCAGGTCGTCCCTATCATGAAACGCCATTATAACAAACCAAAAAACAAACTAAAGAGACAATGGACGAGCCTTATTTGTTTTGTGACTCAGATCTCCTGTTGCGCCAAAAAAAGCTGATTGATGAACATATGATGAGTGATTGTTAGGGGACTATAGCCACAGAGAAAATGAGAAGTGACTAATAGAGGAAGAAAAGGAGGAGCCGTAAAACAAATCTATATAAATAAATCATAAACAGGGCCATACATAAGATACATGGTCACAAATTTAGACTGGAAGAAAGGAGATTTCATCTAAGGCAAATAAAAGTTTTTTTTAGTGTAAGAACTATAAGGACATGGAATTCTCTGCCTGAAGAGGTGGTTTTGCCAGAGTCCATACAGATGTTTAAACTGCAATTGGATAAATACTTCCAAAAACACAACATACAGGGATATAATTTCTAATTAGTGGGGTAATAGCTGCTTGATCCACAGATAAATATGACTGCCATTCTGGGGTCAACAAGGATTTTTTTCCTAATGTGCTGCAAAAGTGGAAGCACTTCAGACTGGACTTTTTGCCTTCTTTTGGATCAATAGCAAAACCATATGTGAGGAAGGTTGAACTTGATGGACGCAAGTCTCTTTTTAGCTATGTAACTATGTAAATATAGATTGTGATACACACAACCTCTAACAGTCATACTGATACATACAATGATACACACACACACAACCTCTAACACTCATACTGATGCATTCAGTGATACACACACACACACACACAACCTCTAACACTCATACAGTAATATACACACACAACCTCTAACACTCATACTGATACATACAGTAATACACACACAACCTCTAACACTCATACTGATACATACAGTAATACACACACAACCTATAGCACTCATACTAATACACAGTGATACACACACAGCGTCTAACACTCATACTGATACATACAGTAATACACACACACACAACCTCTAACACTCATACTGATACATACAGTAATACACACACAACCTATAGCACTCATACTGATACATACAATGATACACACACAGCGTCTAACACTCATACTGATACATACAGTGATACACACACAACCTATAACACTCATACTGATACATACAGTGATACACACACAGCGTCTAACACTCATACTGATACATACAGTAATACACACACAACCTATAACACTCATACTGATACATACAGTAATACACACACAACCTATAACACTCATACTGATGCATTCAGTGATACACACACACACACACACACACACACACACACAACCTCTAACACTCATACTGATACATATAGTGATACACACACAACCTATAATACTCATACTGATGCATTCAGTGATACACACACACACACACACACACATACACACACAACCTCTAAAACTCATACTGATGCATTCAGTGATACACACACACACACACACACACACACACACACAACCTCTAACACTCATACTGATACATATAGTGATACACACACAACCTCTAACACTCATACTGATACATACAGTGATACACACACAACCTCTAACACTCATACTGATACATACAGTGATACACACACAACCTCTAACACTCATACTGATACATACAGTGATACACACACAACCTCTAACACTCATACTAATACATACAGTGATACACACACAGCGTCTAACACTCATACTGATACATACGGTGATACACACACAACCTCTAAAACTCATACTGATGCATTCAGTGATACACACACACACACACACACACACACACACACAGGGCCGGCCTTAGGTGTTCAGGCGCCCTGTGCGAAACAATCTTGTGGCGCCCCCCCCCCTCACCTGTCTCTGTTTGGACCCCTTCAAACTATTTTAGGAGCATTCACAATCTGTTGAATCCCTGGCCAGATCTTCACCAAGCCCCTGGCCACCACTTCATCAAACTCCTGGCCACCCCTTCCCCTTCATCAATGCCCTGGCCATCCCTTCGTCAAACTCCTAGCCACCCCTTACCTTTCATCAATCCCCTCCCACCCCTTTATCAATTCCTGCCACCCCTTCATCAGTCCCCTGCCCCTCTCATCAATTCCCTCCCACCCTTTACTCAGCCCTCTGCCCCTATTCATCAGTCGCCTGACCCCCTAATCAATCCCCTCCCACCCCTTTAACAGCCCTCTGCCCCATTCATCAGTCCCCTGACCCCCTCACCAATCCCCTCCCCCTTTTATCAGCCCCCTGACCCCCTCATCAGTACCCTCCCACCCCTATCACCCACCTGCCCCCCTTTAATCAGTCCCATGCCCCCCTTTTCAACCCCCTGCTCCCCTTCATCAGCCCCCTTAATACATGCCATGCCAAATAATCCAACCCCTGGCCACCCCTTCATCAGTCCCCTGCCCCCCTTAATTAGACCCAGTGTCACCCATAGCCAGTCCCAGTCCCCTGCCCCCCTTAATTAGACCCAGTGTCACCCATAGCCAGTCCCAGTCCCCTGCCCCCCTTAATTAGACCCAGTGTCACCCATAAGTCCCCTGCCCCCCTAGACCCAGTGCCACCCATCTACCCTAGTGTCACCCTTAATTAGACCCAGTGCCACCCCTAGTCCCCTGCCCCCTTCCCCAGTGCCACCCTTATCTAGTTAATTAGACCCAGTGCCACCCTTATCTAGTCCCCTGCCCCCCTTAATTAGACCCAGTGTCACCCTTATCTAGTCCCCTGCCCCCCTTAATTAGACCCAGTGCCACTCTTATCTAGTCCCCTGCCCCCCTTAATTAGACCCAGTGCCACTCTTATCTAGTCCCCTGCCCCCCTTAATTAGACCCTGCCCCATTTAATGAAAGATGTTTGGCTTAAAAATAAATAAGGTACTTACTTTGAAGGCTGCTGCTCCCTCCCTGTCTGCAGAGCACCGGCCGCCGCCCTCACACATGGAGCGGATCCCTCTGCGGCTCTCAGTGAAGGTGCAGCACTTGGTCGCTGCGCCTGCGCCCCAAGCTCCTCCTCCACGCTCCGGAAACTGACCGCGGCTCAGCTCTCACACAATCTCGGGCCGGCCAGTGACAGAGCGACTGCGAGCTGTGTCGGCCGCCCGGCGCCCCTGTTGCCATGGCGCCCTGTGCGGCTGCACAGCTCGCACACCCCAAAGGCCGGCCCTGCACACACACACAACCTCTAACACTCATACTGATACATATAGTGATACACACACAACCTCTAACACTCATACTAATACATACAGTGATACACACACAGCGTCAAACACTCATACTGATACATACGGTGATACACACACAACCTCTAAAACTCATACTGATGCATTCAGTGATACACACACACACACACACACACACAACCTCTAACACTCATACTGATACATACAGTGATACACACACAACCTCTAACACTCATACTAATACATACAGTGATACACACACAGCGTCTAACATTCATACTGATACATACGGTGATACACACACAGCGTCTAACACTCATACTGATACATACGGTGATACACACACAACCTCTAAAACTCATAGTGATGCAATCAGTGATACACACACAACCTATAACACTCATACTAATACATACAGTGATACACACACAGCGTCTAACACTCATACTGATACATACAGTGATACACACACAGCGTCTAACACTATATTGCCATATTTAAGGATACCAAGTTTGGGAGCTATCTACTAAACACATACACATGTATATACATATGAAAACATAACCACAGATATACACACACACACACAATCACATATCTATACACACATAATCACAGACCTATACGCACAATCATAAATATACACACACAATCACAGACCTGTACACACACAGACCCACACACATACAATCACAGATCTATACCCCCAGTGACATACATACACACATAATCACAGATATACACACATTTGTGTATGTGTATGTGTATATATATATATATATATATATATATATATACATACATATACATACACACACAAACAATCACAGACCCACTCACACCTACAATCACAG